AACAGTTGCAGGGAGAATTTTTCACCGTTGAACTCTCCAAGATGAAATAGGTTAGAAATCAGCACTGCCCTGAGGTCTTTGTCTCTGCGAATCGGAAGAGCTCGAAAAAATCACCAGCTTTGTACCTTAGCCTCCAGGTGAACCGCATGGATGGCTAGAGGAGGAAAAGAGCAGAAAAAGGAGGCGACGTAGGCCAGCTTTAATCGCATTGAAACATCATTACTCGACAGTGAACTGTCCACGCGACAGTAGAAACGACTGTACGGTTGAACTGTCCTCCCTACCATGATCTGAAGTACTGAATGTTTGTCTGCTACTAAGGCTGAGGAGAACAAACTGATGCTCATGCAGAGAGCAGTGGAACGAAAAATGTGCAAGGTCGTTTTCTGGGATTACGTTCTGAGTGCATCGGATTGGATTAACAGAGTGAATTCTGCCTTCTACAACGCCAAAAGAAGATGAGCCGATTTTGTGGCTTACCTGCAAGATAACCTGTGGATACCAAGAATTAATAACTGGATTCCGCTGCACCACCAACGCCGAGTTGGTCGTCCAAGAACGCGCTTAATCATCCGGTTGTCAGATTACTTAGTCAGTCTTGGAGGCAGAAAGTGGAGAGCACGTAGAGCTTCAGGGACGTCGACTTTCATTCATGGCGCACCCCTAACGAGGACAACTTGAACAACAGAATAACATATCGTATCAAAACATGTGTTCATGATCAGAAAACGCTTTCTTGGCTGTTGTAATGACCATGGACAATATCTGTGCTCTTGATTTCTCTCTGTCATTTAAGCAACTGGAAGGCTTTATATAGGTAAATGGCGTTTCTTAAGACATTTCGAATCTGGTCCATGTCATTTCTGTTCCTCTGTAATTTCATACCATTAGTTTATTGCAGAGACGAGTTTTGCATTACTTCAAGTATAGGCTCATTGGCTTCCACAGATAATGAGGCTCACGTAATTGTTCCATACCCTGAACCTCCTTCATCTAAATTTTCATTCCTGTTTTGATAATGGTGTTGTTCATTTCTAGGATAGCTCCTTTGAGTTCTTTTGGTAATTTGAAATCACCAGTGGTATAAGTAGTGATCCAAGTGGATTGTCTTGGAAGGTGGCTTTATTGCTACTTTGAATAACTTCTGTGATATTGCGTCTCCCCGTCAGACACCGTTTTCGATTTTGATCTTGCTTGTGTTTTCGTGAAGCTTCACATGCTAGCAGTTGCATTTTTGAGGTCATAGCGATGAGGTCCATGTATCTGTCCTCGATTTTCTGGCTCCTCATAACAACGAAGACTGGAGAGGCAATGACCGGCTTGAAAGCCTTCTCGGAATAAAATCTTAGGCAGAGCGAAAGCTGATATTCGCTATTTGTCTGAATCAAGAATTGATCAGAATCTACGAACCATCTCTTTCTAGCGATATTTGATTGATATACATGCATCTCTCTACATATCCATAAAACTTTGGAAATTCATGGGTGGAAGCACTTAACTTAGCACAATTTTATTTGCAGGCCAAGGTTTCAGCAGCACGGATATTCTCTATATTCTATCATCAGTGTCACAATGAGTAAAGAGTGTAATAATATTAATCAGTAAATTTCCCTTTATAGCAATAATTTATATACAGTGAATCAGCAGAGATTCTTTAAAAATACAGTTACATTAGCAATATCGAAATCTACTACCTCCATTCAGTGGATGCCACAAGTCCAGTAAAACTTTCAGCGTATAATGAATTCTACAAATCCTCGTCACTTTGCGAAAATAGACAGAAAGTTTCATGATGAGTTCAGGAATTATAACTACAGTGTAATTTTTCGTATGTAGTGGGCAGTAAGTTTCAGGTGACTGTTTCTCTGTCTCTCATTTTTACGAATCTCATGATGGACAAGGTTAATACTGTCCAAAATTCATCCTTGTCTCGAAGAGCGAGCAACAACCGCCAATGTCCAGCTGACGAGGTTCAGGCAATTATTCTTCACTCCACTCTTGTCATAAACCCAAAGGGCAAGACTGGGGCGGTAAATTGAATAAAAGCTCAGTGAAACGATCATTCAACCCTTAAGACGGTTAACCTCTATTAAGGAACAAACCTCGTCCGTACCTGCGTATATACGAGCGGTAGAGTGATCCAATCCATGACTACCAGTCGGCCCAAAATTGTCCTTATGCGCACTAACTCCTTAAACAGCGAGTGCCACAGTGATCTTCCGATCAGATTAGGACGTGCTTAGTACCTGCATAACAGCCGTGTAGTTGTAGTCGCTGATCGGTGTGCCTTTGTTTCTGGTCATGGTCATCAAAGTTGCAGCCCACTGCAACGGTAACCAGAAGAGATAGAGGCCACTCTTGCCTCGAAGACGTTCGTAATCACGCAGCTCTAGTTCAGTGAGGAATCCTGAAGCGAACTGCAAACTATGGCATGGTATGACTACCTTACTTGATGCCGCTACCTGCCTTGACCAGGTGGTTCATGGTCGGGA